AACTGTAAAACTCTGCAGACAGGTGCAGGAAAGGTGATGAATCAGAGATTACAAGCACTTAGCACGGAAGAATTGGCATCTTCATTCGAAGATGAACTTTGCACGAATAGTACTCACATGCCCCACCACTCGATGATGTCACCGCTGACCCACTTGCCTGGCTGCAGGAAATCTGCATCGCGAGGGGAGATCGTCAAATAGCCGCCTCCTAAGGGATATGGCATTACATACTGCTCAAATGGTTCAGCGACCTTCTTGTTACGCTTCCTAGCCATCGGGTAAATCAATGGAGGCTTTCTGGGGAGGTACTGGTTCGGTGGCCGGGTAAGTGACGGCGTAACCTTAAGTCTATACTAAGTCATGTTGTTTATCGGATGCCGAGCAGCGAAACCCTTGGGATGTGTAGTGGCGGGAGACATCGTAGGGACAGTTTGGGGACATGGACTGAATGTTGTCTCTCGATTACGTTGGGTTACCCTATTTTGGAATGTGCAATTGGCCAGTGGTCCCACGGTGTATGAAACGGTTTGCTATGCTCCAGAGGGTCAGTGAGCTGGATGTTAGCGGTTGGTGTGGGTAACATAAGCACCAGAGGCCTGATGTGGATGTGGTTCGGGGCTATCGAGAAACGACAGGCTGTCACATGGACATACAGAAAATTACAATGGTGGTTTCGGTTTGCTAGAAGCAGTGACGAGGACCACTCGGTAGATCCACGTGGCACATTTCTGCTGGTGAGATGAGCGACTTGCACGAGGTGATGTGGCGAAACCACAGCGCATTTTGCACCTGTAATGTCGGGTGAAGGACGAGACTGCATGGAGCGCACCCGAAACTGCCCTGTGTGAAAATCCACGGCTTAGAGTGGTCCCCGGGGAGTGACATCAACGAGGAATAAGCTCCAACGGGGTCGATCCGTGAGCTCCTCTGCTATTTGACGATAACATTGCTTGGACATTTTCTTATCCCTCATGGGAATGCTACGCTCACACCAGGTCGAACCTTACCAACTTAGCGTGGCATAGGCGCTATATTTTGTTAGGGAAGAGTGAAACAGCCGCTCACCATGTGTGCCGCTGTCGCGCGTCCGGTGCGTGTTAGACGTCCTCCCCAGAGGCTTGATGATTTCGACGGTATAAAAAGTGGAGGTAAGTCTAAGCCGTCGACTGCACAATGGGCGGCGGATGTGGAGGCGACAAGGACGTTCTTGAGACAACACCGAGTGTCCAACCCTACGCCCAAGGGTTATTTGGTAGCGGAGCAAGCCCCGGACATCGCTGGACCCGCAGACCCTCCCATTAAGCCGTACGGCTTCACCGTCGAGGAGAGGCTGGATTTGCATGCGCAGCACCGGCCTGGCCGACGCAAGCTGGTGAAAGTAGTGCAGGATCACAACGGCGGAAAGCAGGAGAAGCACGGTGCCACTGGTGAGCATTGCTTGGACTAGGCATACTGTTTCGGGGCCTCAATTCACAATTTTTGCATTTAATAGAGTTGGGCTCACCATTCCGTGGCTCATTGTTGATATAGAGATCCACCATGCAGTGAGTGACCCAATACCCGTGGCGAGCGGCGAAACTGATCATGGCGGGCCAAGAAGCTGCGAGGGTGGGCTTGAGGCTTTTGTGAACTACAACGCAATCCTCCATACGGTGCCGTTTTCTGACTGCACCGAGGCGGAGTCAGAGGAGGGAACGAACGAATCACAAGCTACGTCAAGCAGTGGCGAAAACAGTGCGGATGAAGAATGGGAGGCATCTGCCAGCGAGGTCGGAACTGACTCTGATGTACCGCGTGTGCCCACTTCCAACGCCAACCCACCAGGCACCCCTGGCACTGTTGTTAAGCAAGTTGCACCTGTAAAGCGCGGACGGCACTCAAAGAAGCCCCCCAGGGAAAAGAAGGCCCGAGAACATAAGCTAGTCGTACGACAAGTCCGTGGGAGGGCGTCTAGCAAAGAGAACATGTGGCGGCAGGGAGAGAGCATCTACACACGGAAGGAACAGGGGGGTGAGCAAGTGCCGAAGTTGATCCCCGTCGCAACGGGCGTGGCCTCGGCCGGGATGGAGTACTATCAGCAGCACAAAGGTCGTTATGGAGCCGATGGCACGAAACAAGCGCTGAATGGTCGGGCGAAGGGGGAAGCTGGTTCTACTATACCTCATCTTCACTGTTCGCCTCCTCCTGGGACGTGCCGCAAGCCGCCACTCATCGACCAGAGTTCACCAGAACATGGCGGTAAGGATGCTGCAGCAACCGAGTTGAAGCCGTCGACGCTTCTGACTCCAGCAGGAAGTGAGCCGGTACTCAATGCCCGGAGGCAGTGGTCGAGCAGTCCCACACAGCAATACTGCTCGGTCAAGCGTGGACCGTTGTTCTCTCCTGCGTTGGTAAACGCTGCTTCAAAACCGATGTCACCGTTGGTTCATCGTTCTATGGCCAACTCAGAACGTGGAACTGGCATGGGCGCTGGCCTCCCTGGAATGGTGCCAACGCCTTTCTTCGATGGTGGCGTGGGACAGACTCACGACATGGAGGCAGAGCACGGTGAATCGTCCCCCGAGGAGGGTGTTGGGGATGCCGGAGGAGACGACCCAGAACTCATAGAGCTGAGGAGGCTGCTCAATAGCGTTCGCCAGCGACGTGGCCGTGACATTTCGGGTATCCTTGCTTCCGCTGGTTGTCGTGGCACTCCACTGCTAGGTGCTGATGAGTTAGAGGCGTTGGCGAGTATTGACAGTTCTGTCCGCAGGCACGAAGACTGTGGAAAGGGCCCCATCACTGGGTTAAATAGTGGTGACACGGAGGCCATTGCGAGTAACATACCTCGAGCTGCCCCTATCGCTACTGACGAGAACCCTCATGCTTTCACTAATGACCATCCTGATCCATCCCCACAGCCTACCTCACAGCCCGCAACCCCACCCCAGGCTGTCGGCCACGCTACGGCTGTTGCACCTCGCGGGCGAGTGAACAGAGGGCTTTACACCAACAGACTCAAGAAGGAGCGTGACCACCTCAACAACACCAACGGAGGTGCACCCGGCCCTGTTCCTGCGGCACAACCTACACGGGTAGGACTGCATGACCAGCGGAAGGACACGTACCGGACAAGAGGAGCAGCGTACCGCGGGCATGGCGCAGGGGCTGCCGAGGGCTTCCAAGCTCGTGGTGTGAAGCGGGAAAGGAACGTCCCGCATATGACTCTCATCATTGACTATGATCCGGAGAGGAGCGGGGAGGGCTTGATACGTGGCATGCCGTCTGCAGATCAGATCGTGGTGAGTATGCGGACGGAGTACCGAAGTAAGTCTGAACCTACGAGTACGCATTGCACTAATCCTGGATTCAGAGTTTTTCTTTTGAGCCGTTTGCACCTGCATGCCATGGAAGCAATCTTTGGTTAATCTGAAAGCCAATGTCCCATGGAGCATCAGATGACTTACCTAATGCAGTGAGCATCTTTTGACCATGACCTTGTCCCGTCACCAGGTGCACGCAAAGATGGCAATGGATCTCCTGCTACGCAACTGTGCGGCGCGAGGTGTGACCCTTTTCCCTTCGAACACAGTGAGGAACGAGGCGCTACGTATCATCCTTCGTGCCACGCATGACGTGAGCTACGTCCAGGTCTGTTACGCCATGTCCAAGACGGAGTACAGTACGAAGGTCAACAAAGTGTGGACGAAGTTCAGGAACGACTCGTCCTCATTGGCACGCTACACGATTGTCTGCGGTCTGGGGATAGACGTCGAGGGAGAGGGGATATACAAGTACGAGCTCGACACAGCCAGGAAGGCAGAGTGGTGGGAGACTCTCGGCCCACGTACGTATTGGTCCAATGCCATTATCATTCTCTACGCATGAACTTGCCTCAAACCCATTTCCGTACACATCAAACTCTGATCCCATCTATCCCCTTCACTGTGTGGCAGAGGAGCACCTTGGGCACAAGGTCTCTTCGTGGAGCCATGAGAAGGGCGACAAGAGGCCCTTCACCAGCGCCCTGTTCTTTGCAGCGTGCAAGGCGGCATACCCTGAGTGGGTCACTGCTGACGGGATCCTTGTCCTCGTCCCCTATCACATAGCATGGGTCCTGTTTTCTGTGAGTGCTCCGCACCAGTAGCCTTGTTGGTGTCCGTAAGAAAGTTTATGTTGGCAGGCTCCTTCATACCCTATTCCATCTAAACCCACGGTTTGTTGTTTGTGACAGTTCGACTATGCCATGACCAACATGAGGAGCAAGTCAATGACCCTCTCACAAAGCCCCCTGACCAACGAGCGCGAGATGGTGGAGGTGCTGGCAGAGGTCGTAGCAGCCATCAAGATGTGGCTGGCCGTGGCGAAGGGGCGTCTGTACGTCCCTGAGATGGGGGCTTTCAAGTGGGGTGGAGCAGGGCTGTTTATCAACGAGATTGGGTTCAATGAGTATCTGCCAGAGGAGTATCAGGTGCGACCAGCATCGCATGTGGGTGACGAGGGTCCGTGGATGGAGTGATTCAAGTTGGGTGGTAATGCGGGATGGGACAGTGGCGGGGATCTCTGATGGAGAATTCCAGGGTTTAAATTTTGTTGTTTGCATTTTTTTTTTTTTTGAAGACCTATAGGACTGATTGAGTAGAATGTTTTGTTAGGGTGGCAGAGGATGCTGTGGTTGTTATATGTGTATAAATGCTGCAGAGAACAATATTATGATAAGACATTCTATGCATTATCGAGTATATCACAGTAGAGTACAAATCTGCTAGTAGGACAGGATGATGGCCATTGCTATTTTCATAGGGTCCCAGAAGTCTCCCGAATGTGTCCGTGGATAGTCCTCAATGCTACTGGCGCCGAGTCCCGATTGTGTCCCAAAAGTGTCTCAGCAAGACACTTTCGAGGCAGTTGGGCGTGACCCTTCCGGGACATTTCACTTAGTCTCGAAATTGTCTTTCGAGACACTTTTCAACCTGTCCCGAAAGTGTTCGGAATGAATGTTTAAAGACTGTTTCGGGACATTACAATTTGGCGATGAGAGGGTAAGCTGGAGGGGAAGGGAGGGGAAGCAAAGGGGGAGCAAGGGTTGCACGGGGGGAAGTAAGGAAGGGTAAGCAAAGGGCGGAGGAGGGGAAGGACTGTGCAGCATGTGAGGGCGCTGCAGCTCCCTCACGCGCGCCAGCAGCATGAGTGCACTCACCTGCCGGCAGGGTGGGGGCAGGGAAGGGTAAGGAGGGGGGAAATGAGGGAAAGGAGAGGGGGGAATGAGGGGAGGGAGAGGGGAAAATGAGGGGAAGGAGGGGTAAAGGAGGGGACGGAGAAAGGGAGAGGAGAGGACGGATAAGGGGAAATGTGGGAAACAAGAGGAACGAGAGGATGAAATGAGGGGAGATGGGGAAACAAGGGGACGGAGTAGGGGAAATGCGAGAAACGAGATGGGGAGATGAGGGTAAGGAAAGGGTGAATGAGGAGAAGGAGAGGGCGAAATGGGGGGAATGAGAGGGGGAAGGGGGGAAATGAGAGGAAGAAGTTGGGGAAATGTGAGGAGAAGGAGGGGAAACGAGAGGGGGAAGGGGGAGAAACGAGAGGGGGAAGGGGGGGAAACGAGAGGGAGGAGGGGGGGAAATGAGAGGGAGAAGGGGGGGGGGAAACGAGAGGCGGAAGGGGGGGAAAGGAGAGGCAGATGGGGGGAGAACGAGAGGAAGAATGGGGGGAAACGAGAGGGTGGAGGGGGGAAACAAGAGGGAGGATGGGTGGAAACGAGATGGAGAAGGGGGGGAAACGAGAGGCAGAAGGGGGGAAAATGAGAGGCGGAGGGGGGGGGGGGGAACGAGAGGGAGAAAGGGGGGAAACGAGAGGGAGGAGCTCCGGGAAAATGAGAGGCGGAAGGGGGGGAAATGAGAGGAGAAGGGGGGGAAACGAGATTGAGGAAACGAGAGGCGGAAGGGGGGGAAATGACGAAATAAGGTTATGAGCCAAGCAGCGCGTGAGGCAAGTATTTTGCCGATTCGCAGGTGAGGCATGCGGCGGGTGAGGCGAGAAGCGGGTGACGCGCTAAACGGATTTCGTGAGCACCGTGTTTGGCGAGGAGCGGGTATCGCGATCAGCGGGTTTCGCCATCAGCGGGTTTCGCAATGCATGATGGCGCTAGGCGAGAAGCCCGCAGGGTGGAACGCGACGGCTCACTGAATAATTTATCGCTGGTTCGACGATTGCATCGCGGCGAGCCAGCATAATGCAACTCGTCGAGGTGCTCGCTCGTGTGCCGCATGGCATCGCTCGACGAATGCTACGCGACGGCCCATCCGAATGCAAACCGCCCCTGCAGCTAAAGGCTTTTGTATAGCCCCGTGTCCCCTTACCACTGGCGATTAGGCCATGGTGAGTAGTTGCGCTGCTAGTTCTATCAAGACCTTTCCTAGTGATTAGTTGCTTATACTTGTGTTTGTGAGTGTTGCTCAAGGGTTGGGTGACGGGAGAGTTTCTTGTGTTCCCACCCCTCAATCCTCCAAATTTTTGCAACCCCTCTCGCCAAGCCCCTTTCTTTCGTTGGGGCGAAATCTTGGTGGCTACTGTTCCACCACAAACAGTACTTTCAAATGTATACGAAAGCTTTAAGATGGCATTCCTGGGGATGGCCAATCGCCAAACGTCTGGGGATGGCCAAACGCCAAACGTCTGGACATCAGAGCGCTGGGGCCACGTGCCTTCAACGAGGCAGCCCACCGACGGCCGTGCGACGTTTTCGCACGACTGATGTTCAGTAGTGTAGTTGACTCAATGTGCAACTGTAATGGCGTTATTAACACCAGAATGAGGGCCAAAACTATTTGGGCATAGGAAAAAAACCAAACCACAGGGATGGTTGCACTGAAGTAGCGGGTGTTTGTGTTGGTAGGGAATTTGGCACTGCATACCCCATTCGTGCGAGCGAGGTTAGTCAATTCCGCAGAAAATATTTTCGAGGGCGCGTCCCCTGGCTTGTTCAACGACGAACATGTCGTTGACGTTTGTTCGCGCAGGAAATTCATTGGTGCGCGGGTGCAGATGTACACCTGTTGCCAACGTCACAAGGCTACTCTAACACGTCATTGGAGCGGCTAATGTCCAGGCCATCGCCAGGAACGCCCTCTAATTCAAACATTCGGCATCCCCCCGTGTTCCCCATTCACCAAATTCACAGAATGACGAATTTCTTCACCGTCGCCACACCTTTCGCAACCCACGTCGCCACTCAACGTGACCTCGGTCGGGAACTACAGCAAGGGTTGGCGAAACCCAGTTTCCATCCGATCACGAACAGCCGACAGCAGAACTTACCTGTGAGCTCGCCACTTCGCTAATCCAATGACCCGAGCTTCTCCTTCCAGCAGATGATGGCTTCACAGCTGCTCTGTGGCTTCTCTCTACCGCCGCTGCTGTCAGGCCCAAACCACGCAGAAATCAACTTCCCTCCCACCTCTTCTGCCAACAGCCGCCTCCTTAGCACTGGAGCGGCTTATATTCGTATCACGCTTCGGGAAACGAACCGCGGCATTTGAACGGCATCTCTTTGGCCATGTCATTAGATTTTCGAGCTGTTTTGTTTCCAACCGTGTTACATTGCTGGCCATTGAAACAGCCCACCTGTCTCAAATTGAAGACATAGAATATTCTTCTCATAGCAGATGATAGATTCCACATTAGGCGGTCCAATCCGAAGCTGGGAATCGTTTGGCGGTCCAATCAGAAGCTGGGAATCTGTAGTCAGCAAATCGTTTGGATCCACCGTAGTCCACGTTGGCATGTTTGGGACCACCTTCGAAGCCAGCAAAGCAAGAATTCCAACCGCGGACTGATTTCACGGAAAAAACGCATCCCAACGGTCCGAAATTAGACATTCCACGCATCTTCAATCTCCCTTCGTATTTCGGCTCGTCTTCTCGTGATTTTCAATTAGTTTCCGAAGCCTTCCTGGCACTTTTGATAAACGAACATGGCTTTTGATTTCGCTACCAGTTTCGACCCTTCTCCATCGTCTCACGTCGACTCCATTCAGCCTTGCCGGGATCATACGGTCGGATTGTGGAGCTTCATTACATCAACCGTGGGAGCTTCTGCAACGTAGCGAAGCTACGTTGATCTGCGTTTTTTCCTCGGCCTCGTCGCGACGCAAACTACGACGTGGCTGGAGCGACATCGATCTCCCCGACTTGTGACGGTGAAGGTCGAATGTATCACCGTTCACCACCACTCACCACAGAGCCTCCTCCCCCCGGTTAAGGTTTGGTAAAGGTTCGGTACAGGTGTGGTAAAGGTTTTTTTTTTGGTACAGGTTGGTATTGGCTCTGTGGTGGGTCAGCACATGTTTCTTCAATTCGCAGAGTCGTTATTTCCGTTGCATGCTTTCTTCACTTCCAGTATACTAACTACATGTTTTTTTTACACTCGCAGGATTTAATGGAGGTTGCGATGAGTTTCGAAGATTAGAGAGGATCAACATCCTTTGGCGTCATTCCTTGCTTATGGCGGACAACGGAGGAGAAGCTCCACGGTTGGTGAAGGTGAAGTTAAAGAGTATCAATCTCACCCTTCACACTCCCGAGCCACCCCCCTGGTTGAGGTTAGGTACAGGTTCAAGTCTGGTAAAGGTCCCCCTAAAGGTTTTTATGTTGGTATTTGGCTCGTTTTTTCCATGTTTTTTTTCGTTTTGCATGTTTTGCTGTCCGACCTTTACTAATTCTCGTTAATCTCTTTACTTGCAGGTTTTATCCGACTGTGTATTCCGTTTTTTGGAGGAGCAACATCTTTTGGCGTCCTGCCATGCTTCATGGCGGACAACAGTGGAGCATCTGCACGGCTGGTGAAGGTTGAACGTATCAACCACACATTCTTCACGCCACAGAGCCCCCCCCCTTGGTTCAGGTTCAGGTTTGGTTTAGGTGGAGGTTGGTAAAGGTGCTGGTAAAGGCCCCCCTGGTTGGTATAGGTAGGCTCTGTGGCACTTGCACCTTTGCAGCACCGTCCGTTTCTGCATGCTTGGTTGGTTTACTGCTCATTTACTAACCTTGTTCCTTTGATATCCTTGCAGGTTCTATTCAAGCCACGCTCCAGATGTTGTCAGAGGAGCACCTCACGGGTAAGCTCCAAGGCGGGGTGAACGTACCTGCCAACAGCACCTGGCAGGTGCCTCCTCTCTGTCCACCAGCAGTAAGTTTTCATCCCTCTTCGTTTTAGCCACTTGCTGCATGTTCGTTCGTTTGCCTTCATTGACTTGGTTTACTAACTCAAATTTGCTTCTTCACTTGGCAGGTTTGCTGCACCAAGGGATTTTAACAAGCCCACGAATCAGGATCCATGGGAGCACCATGGCCTGCTGAGGCCCCTCAACTCTCAATCTTTGCAAGATAAGTTCCAATCTTGAGCCTTTTCCCGTGCTTTCTTGCCCGAATGTTATTCCACTGGTAACTCCACGCTTGCTGATTCCTTTTTTTGTCAAGTTGTGCTTCAACTCTACAGTCACTGACTTGTTTCATATTGCCTCATGGCAGGTTCTCCAAGCGCCATTAACATGCCGTGGACTGCTAAGACCTTGCGCACCGCTGCACTCCAGCAAGCCCAAGATCCATGGGAGCACCATGGCATGTTGAAGTGCCTCAACGCTCAAGCACCGCTCCACATTCCAAGCTCCTCAACCTCAGATAAGTTTCAACCCCTACCTTCGAGCTCCTTTTCCTCATGCACATGGCTTTATTGTGTTTATTGATTTGCTTTGATGCATGCTGTTTTTTTGCTTTCTCTTAATTATCGTGGACTTATGTTTGTCTTCATTATGCCTGCAGGTGCCTTCATGGGCGGCAGTGGGTGGCAAGCCATGGCCTGCTGAAGCGTCTCAACGCTCAAGCACCGCTCCACACTCCAAGCTCCTAACCCACAGATAAGTTTCAGCCCCTACCTTCGAGCCCTCTTTTTCATGCACATGGCTGTATTATGTTTGTTGATTTGCTTTAATGCAAGCTGCATTTTTTATTTCTCTATTTTATCATGGACTAATCGTTATCTTTCTTCTGCCTGCAGGTGCCTTCATGGTCGGCAAGCCTGCAAGCCATGTGGCCAGTGCACAAGAGGGGGTGAAACTTTGAGCATTGGCTGGGGACTCAATTCCGGGCCAAACCGGACTGGTTCTGTCCCCTCCCGCCCCCACCAAGTGACAAAGCTGTCTGGCCAGCAGTGATGTCATTTGGTGGAGGTGGGGTTGAGCAGAGCCAGTCCCTAGTAGGGCACCCGCACGTCTTGGTCCTGGCAATGCTCAAGTCTCAGCCTTCCTCTCTGCCTGTGCAGAGCACTGCCAGTCCATGCCGGGGTGGGCATGGATGGTATGCTGCCATGGAGTAGCTGTGGACCTGTGCTTGATATTATTCAAAGAATTACATTGGTTGAGTGTACCTCTGAATATTATTTCATTTCTTTAAGATTGTACTCTAGTGTAGCGATAGTTGTACTCTGGATAGGCCGTAGGATTTTAATCTGAGAAGCATCTGTTCAAGTGTTCAAACATATATAGTCCTCTGTTCTCTGTTCTCAGCCTTCCTCTCTGCCTGGAATACCTCCACAACTTTATGGCAAAAAGTATACGGTATCGGGAAAGCACGGAACCGCATGTTGTTGGGCTGAAATGCCCCTTAGGATCTTTGGTAGGATGAAACTGTAGGTAAAGTGATGTAATAGCGGAAGCGTTTAAGAGAAGATTCTGAACCACCTTGCGCTGGTATGTGAGGGCAAAGTAAGTTGATTAAAGCAAAGAGATACAAGATTATATAAGAGTACAAGGAATACGAAGAGATACGGCTGTAACTGCTTTTGATGTTGCTGTTGCCAGGGCCCGTGCTAGGTTTTGGGGCATCCTGAGGCCTCAGGGCAACTTTCCAGAATCTGAAAAAATGCCCTGATTTGTCAGGGCAAATTTTCAGAGGCTTCATGTGATTTCAGGGCTTCTACAGAAATTTATCCTGGCCTGTCAGGGCAAAAATACAAGTGTTCAGGG